ATTAATCTTTACTAAATCTATTTTTATTGGACATTCTATTTTCAATTCTATTTTCAAATAAAGTGTTTAATCATTGAAGTTATTCAAGAAATGATTATCAGTTGAGGATAACTATGAATGTAAAGTCATCAATACAAATAGTATCAGGATCTGGCGATGATGGTATTGATTAATAAAAGTCGAGAATAAAGTGTTAAAATTTTATTAGATAAATTCTTCTTATTTTTCAACGACAATAGAAAAACTCGAAATAAACAAATTATATGTTACTTGAAAAATTGAGTAATGTTAGTTTGGTTGAAGTGACATAGTAATAACTGGATTCAAACTAGGGACCAATGTTAAAGCAAAACCAAAAGCAAACATTATTGTTCTCCAGGGTTTTAAAGCCATAATATAAGTCACAGCATAAAAACTACGAATGAACAAATATAAGATACTATAACCAATTGTGTCTACACATATTTGAGATGTACTATCGGAAAAATAAGTAGTTGCTAATAAGAAGATAAAAAAATAACGATCATTATCAATATCATTATTAATCGTTTTGTTGACACGTTCGTCCTTGGTAAATTCAATTGAACTAGATGTATCTGTGACGACTGTTGTTTGTTTACCTATTAGTTTATTATCTTCGGGAGGTCGTGAGCCTGGTGGAAAAGGCTTGGCTCGTCTGGCAAACATTTCTACAGCAGGCATGACAATGCGGTGAAGAATTATCACAGGCATAAACCAGACAAATACGAAACACCGTGGGCAACTTTTGTATGCCAGGCGGACATCATCTTAAATGAAATAAACCATGTTCGAAAAAAAGTTTTCTTCTCTGAAAATGCCTGTGGAGGACCTCAGCTAAAATTTTCAAAAAAAACTTTTTGTTAAAAAGTGCGTATTGTTGCATGTCATTCGATGCAGTTTTACGCGCTGATTCGAAATATCACGTTAGTTTTTTTCTAAGGTGCTGTTTTATGGCAAAAGAGAAAGATGAATCTTTTTTTAAACTTTTCCTGCGTATAGGTTGAAAACAAATTTCGAAGAAACACTCTTTATTACATATGGTTAGATGCAGTTTTGTGACCTGATTCCGAATATCACATTCGTTCTGCGTCAAAATGTTCCCATCTCCTCAAAACTAGCCATTCCGGGGCAGAAACCTGGGTTTTTGGGAGGACTTTAGCTCGACCTGTGTTCACTAATGCAAAATAGCGTTATGGTCAACGATAAATCACCTAAAGGAGAATGGATGGTAAAAATTTGAGCTCAATCGGGCGAGGATTCTTTGTAGCGTTCACAAAATACGGTCTGACCTGTTTTTTGACATAGTATAGGCCCAATAATAATTTTTTTGTATTCCATTTTTGGTTCGATCGAAATAATTTTTTAATGCAATATAGCTTATGGGTCAATCATTCGTTTCAGATAGTTTTTCTTTTTAAAATGTTTTGATAAGTTCAGAAAAATAATGATTTCCGTAGAATTACCGATTTATGAGCAATTTTTGAGGATGGGCATTTTTAGGGGTATGACTTGATTTCTGGAAATTTAGTTTTAGGGTAAAATAGACTGACCATAGACGTATTCATTCCAATATTTGAACTTTGGAAAATAGAACTATCGGTCATGTCCGCCTGGTTGCCCACTGTGCGGCATGGATTTAACAAGTTTCATTTTAATGTCATACGTACTAAAGTCGCACCTTTTTAAGCATGTGCTAGTGACGAGTAGTAGAATACGCTACTGACGCCAGTCGTTTACTATCATTTGTCATATATGTGATAAACTATTTCGAAATACATATGAGCACTTGGACTCCGTCAGGATTTCAGACAGATTCAATTTAATTCCCTGTATTTGAAACTTCAGTTCAAAACTTATCTTGTGGGATATGCAATAAGGACTGCTAGCAGAGTATGCCGCCAACACCAGTCAATCAGATCCAGTTATTGCTAACACGAAAAAGCGCCTCAAAGTATACGCGTAGATGCTGAGTATGCAATATACGATCTCAAACCTTCAAAAGATAGAATATAATATTAAGGCAACACAAGATTGAATAAATACTATTAAAGCTATAGTTGTAACTCTGTTTGTTCTTCTTGTAACTAAATCTGTTCGAAAACCACTATAGTTCCATAATGAAACCGTGACAGTTTTATGTTTTATTTGTCTTTTATCAGTCTGTGATCCACAGTGTGAGCATAGATGGAGCCAGTCCGATTTTTTGACAACTGTCACTGGTACCGGTCCCAAAAGCTCAGATCGAATTGGACAGGCCGATCCACCGGTAGTTAACGGATCTACCGGTCAACAGCCGGTAGAGTTATCGATTTAAATTCCGGACTGGTACCGGTTCCATTTATGTGTACAATCTTAACTGTGCTTATTAGTCACAAACAGATGTGCAGTTAAGAAAAAATTTAAGTACTACTTACTACCTGATATATTAAAAATCATAAACATAACAAAAATATCCTTGTTTTACGAAGATCTTTCTTAAAACACGATGAAAATAACAGCGATTCAATACAACACTAAAGCTATAACTAATAGGAAATAATTCTGATGTACTTAATTCTAAATTCTGAAATTGCAGCAGAAAACTATTAATATAAAATGAAGGCTTTTATTCCAACCGAAAAACTTCCGAGTGAAAAATTACTTTTGAAAACAAGAATGATAAATTTGAGGAATAGCACGTAGTTGATATCATTATTATAGGACAGACTAGTGTTTCCTATGTGCAACTGTTCGAGAAACAACTTTCATGGGCCTATATTTCTGACTTGAAAATAACTCTACAACTGTCGTTATTGTATTGAATCTGTATCTAAACAAATATTCGTTTTTCTGTTCTTCTACAATCTTAACTGATTTCGGGTGTGGGTGTGGGTGTGGGTGTGGGTGTGGGTGTGGGTGTGGGTG